TTTTCCAGTGAGTCCTATCTTCTCATTATTTGGCCAAAGTATTTAAACTTCACCTTCATTATTTGACCTTCCAGGGAATAGTTTGAATTAATTTCCTTCAGTATTGATTGATTTGATCTTCTTGCTGTCCAAGGGACTCTCAAAAGTCTTACGGTCAAAACAACTAACCTGGGGAAATGATAATTTAAGAATTACAGGGCTCGAACCAGGAGAATGTTTTACACAGTAACAGCCATGTTGTGAGATCACTAATACTGATAGATTTAACCCTTCTCAGCAATACAAGTATCTAAGACATCTCCAAAGGCCTCATAACGGAAAATGCTATCCACATCCAAAGAAAGAACTATGGAGTTTGAATGTAGATCGAATCATACTATTTGCTATCTTTTTTTCTTCTGTTGTGTTTTGTTTCTTCTTTCCGGTGGTTCTCCTATTGGTTCTAATTCTTACTTACAACATCACTAATGTGAAAACATGTTTAATAGGAATGTACATGTATAGCCTACATAAGATTGCATGCTGTTTTGGGGAAGGAGGTGGGGAGGGAGAGGAGAAAAATTTAAAACTCAAAAGCTTATGGAAGTGATTGCTGATAATTCAAAATAAATTAATTTTTAAACTCATAAAAATCATAGGTTCCTTGAAAATATTATTTAAAAAAGATACTATATAATCAAGGAATCATAAAATAAAATGGTCCAAATCTATTGGAACCAGAGGGCAAAGTAAAAATACTCAGAATCCATAGCTCAACCCCTGAAAGAAACTGCAAACCCCAGAGACTCCAGTTCAATGAAAAAGAAATTACATCTATATATCTATATCTATATCTATATACCCATATCTATATCTATATATGTGTGTGTGTGTGTGTGTGTGTGTGTGTGTGTGTGTGTGTGTGTACATCAAGCAGCCAGGAAAGAAGACTTCAAGGATCAAGAAACCTCAATCAAGATCTCACAAGCTTATGCAACAAGTCTTAGAAAGAGAAGGAAATCTTGGGGTACAATATAGCAAAAAGGACATTTTAAATGCCTAAAACCAAGAATTATTTACTCTGCAAAACTGAACAAAATTCTACAGTGAAAAAAAAAAGGAACTAAAAAAAACCTAATACTTTTCAAGCATTGCAATTATGGAAATGAAAATTAGGTAGAATTTTTGAAATGCAAATATAGGAGAAAAGAGAAAACTAAAAACATTTTTTCAAAAGTTTGAATGACCTGAAATGGCTGTTATAATCACACGCTTAAATCCAAATAGAGGATAAAGAGGCCATTATCTTTTCCAAAATTCATCACTTTCAAGGATCAAAGAGAAAACAAAGAAAAAGACACTTAAGGCATTATATTTGCTAGGGTCTTTAACATGGCAGACAACGGGCTAGAACCAGCATTGTAAATCTCTGAAGTGCCAGAGCCAGGCCAGAGAAGTGAAGAATAGAGACTTCTATCTAAATATACACAAGGAGACAAGGTGAAAGTGGAAGTCTGGTGAATGTAACAGTAAAAAGGCTGGCCAGGGGCATTATGGACAGGACCTGGCAACACCAAGCCTACTATATGTGAATCAGTGTTTTTGGTGGGACTACATTACAGCATACGAGGGTACATGAAAAGGAGGAAGGAAGAAGGAAGATGGAGCATGTGATGCTCCAGGGTCAAATCAAGGACTAGCAATGAGCAGAAGATCATCCTTGTGGTCTCAGAAAGGAAAGAGCCTACAGGAGAGTGAGTGAGGAGAAGAGGGAAGGATTGAAAAGGGGTGGGGGAGGAAAGAGGCTTTACTTTGGTGGTAGGAGGGGGTTCTACTGATGAATGCTCCTGTGAGGGAAATATTCTGTTAAAGGACATGGGAACCTTACATTTGATGTGGTCTGGGGGATTCGGGGCTTGAAAAGTTCACTTGTACTACACAGGGAGAGGGTTGGGGGTGGAGGATGTTATAACTTCTAGAGGCACTGACACCAAGGGAAGTGGGAGGGCACATACCCAGGGAGAAGTTTTTCAGGTAAATGGAAAAAAGATAACTAGGAGAGGGTATAATTAGTAGTGAGCTCCTTTATGAAGGATAGGGTAGGAGGCCCTACCATGGGGTAGTGTCCTCTCTGACACCTGTAAGTATTGGCATTCTTCTAAGAGTGGGGCTCGTAAACTTTGCAGGTGACACAAAACTGGGAGGAATGGCTAATGTGCTGGAAAAAAGGATCCATATCTAAAAGGACCTTGACAGACTAGGACACTGGGTTGAATCTCTAAGATGAAATTTAAATGGGATACATATAAAGTCTTGCATGTGGCCCAAAACAAAAAAAGACTTTATAAGTATAAGATGAGGATTTCTCTCATTATCCATCCTCTCTTTCTGTCTCCTCTAGACCCTCATCCTCTGATTCATGATTCCTATAATTATCTAGTCTCTATTTTCTGTATTCTTAATGCACTGCCTTGTAGAGTTTGCCCTGATGATTCCCTTTTCTTCTGCAACACAGGTAATGTGGAAATATGTTTTGCACAACTATATATCTATAAAGGTTTTCATATATTTCTTGCCTTCTCAATGGCTGGGGAAAGGGATGGAGTAATGAAGAGAATCCGAAACTGAAAATAATTTTTAAAAAAAACTTTTAAAAATAAATGTATTATGCAAGAGATATTCTCTTGTCTAGTAGTCAACCTGTACCCAGGAAATAGTTATTGTTTGATACTAAGGAAAAAGAATGGATCGTATCACAGAACCATTAGCTTGACTTATGAAGAATATTTGTATGCAGAAGAATTACTGCCTATTTTGGTCAATCTCTTGAGAAAATATTAGATTAATATTTGTCATTGTGTGTAATATTTGTCATTGTGTGTATATCAGAAATATGTGACTATGAGTAGTATGATAATATGAAATCTTTAGGCCATCAAAGTAGGTGTATCCTCTTACCAACAATGCTGAATTTAATCTGGAATATTTATTCTGTAACAAGTGACAAGCACGAATGGACACAAGAAAACAAACTTTTATTTGAGAGCCAATTTATCTTGGACATAGCTATGCCATGATGTCTTAATCCTTCTATCATAAAGCATTTATTAATTGTCTACTATGTGCCACCTACTGTATCAAGCTCTGGGGATACAAAGAAAGGGGGAAATACAATCCCTTCTCTCAAGGAGCTCTCTGTTTAATGAGGGAGATGGCATACAAAAAACTATATAAGGAAGATTTATATATATATATATGTATATATATACATATATATATATGTGTGCATATATATACATATATATATACATATACATACACACACATACACACACACACGCAATAAACTGAAGGTAATCTTAGAGGAAAGGTGCTAACATTATGGTAGCATCAGTAAAGGCTTTCAGAAAGTAGAATTTTAGCTAGTATCTGAAGATGGAAATAAGGAGGGAGAGAATTACAGGCAAGGGGGACAGTCAGTGAAAATGCACTGGTTCAGGAAATGGAGTTCATGAGTGCAAGCAGCAGCAAGGAGGCCAATGTCATTGGATCACAGAGTATATAGAAGGGAGTAAGGTGTAAGAAGATTGGAAAATTAGGAAAGGATCAAGTTATAAAAGCCAAATAAAGAAGTTTATATGTGATCCTTGAAATACAGAGAGAAACTAGAATTATGAGATTAGGAAGATAGTGGTTTTGCTGAATTGCTTTTTCTTGGTTTTTTTTTGTTGTTGTTGTTTTGTTTTGTTTTTGTTCTCTGTTACAAAAGATGCCTCACTGGTTTGGAGGAAGATGTATTTGAAAATGGAGATTGAATAAAGAAAAGGTATCAATTAAAAATATTTTTAAAGATATTCCAGGTCCTGTCTAAATGAGCAACAGGAAAGTTCTCATAACTCAAATCATTCCTCTTCGGTCATATTACAAGAGACACACACACACACACACACACACACATACACACACACACACCTAGAGAGAGAGAGAGAGAGAGAGAGAGAGAGAGAGAGAGAGAGAGAGAGAGTCCAACAATATGGGCTCAAAATTTCAAAAGCAGGAAATTGTGTAGATATGTAGAAAGAGAACCCCTGTTATCTGAGTGAATTTTTAGAAGTGGACATGGAAAAATACTGCTTAAGTGGAAGTCTATCAAGCCTCATGACTCAGAGGCGACTGCCTGGCCAGGTTATGAGACAAAAGATAAATATGTGTTTAAATATGTAGTTGATAATAGTTTCAAAGAGCAAAATTAATCATTTTTCTTACTTCATAATCCACTCTACCAGACTATAAAAGTAATGAAGAAACTGAGCTGACAACGAAGTCAATTACTGACTTAATCAAAGAAGGATAAACCAGGAATTGGTAACATGACTTTGTGCCATAATTCAAATAGATTAGTCAATGGAACAGCCTAATTGCTTATTTGTTCAATCACCAGTATTACAGGAAGATAAAAAAAAAAAAACAACCTCCAAATGTCAAACCTCACCAAGTTAAGGTAGTAAATTGTGTCCACCTAATTCATGGCAAACCCCGCTGGATTTCACTTCATCAATGTAATAGGCTTTGCATATAAGACATAAGTATTGATGAGCAGTTCAGATATCATGATCAGGCATAGTAATAATCTTAGTACACTTGTAAATACAAATTTCAGTGACATTTACCATCAAGATGTTTGACACAGGGTGCATTGCTGGCTGCAATGTAAAATCAGGTATCTCCTCTATTAATATATATATATATTTTTTTCAGGTACTAAGCCATTGCTAAGATTGGGGAAGAAGTATCATTTGAAGAGTTTTTTAATTAAAATTTTAGTTTAAAAATTTAAATTTAAAGGAAAATTGGGGCTTCTATCTGACAAAATAGAGGTAGTTTTATTAACTCATAGACACTTAAACAACTAATGTACTCAATGATTTTCATCTCTCTCTGAGTAAACCTGTAACTATCTATTTTGTCTCCCGGTTGAAGCAATGCAAAACATGTCATCAAATCTTTTTTTATTTTTTTAGGAAACACCAGTTTGGAGATGGAAAGCTTTAGGTCACAGAGTGTATCATAGAAAAAGTCTGTGATATCAACCTGTATGGTCAGAGACACTGGAACACAACTGAAACCACTTTTGGAAAGGCTACCATCTCTGTGGGGAAAGAGGTAGAGTTAAGCTGGAGAGGAGCTCCTAAGGTGGATAGCTGCTGGGGGTGGGGGGGAGGGCGGGGATAGGAGCATACACCCAGTAACAAATTTTTATTGCTAAGTGCTAAAGAGACAACAATAATATAAAGTCTCTTCTGGCGGTCAATTCTGTGATTCTGTAATGGATAGACAATCTTGGAGCAAGCAAGTTTAAGTCAACCTATGACATAGGAACTTCGTGAAACTGGGCAAGTGCTTAACCTTTCAGTGTCCTAGGCAATTGTGTAAAATTAATTGTTGCCTAGTAGATACTAAACTTCAGTGACCTGGGACAAAGCCCTAATGATAGTCCTATTCTTCGAAAGCAGCTCAGGGGCAGCTAGGTGGTGCGATGGATAAAGCTATGGTCTTGGAGTCAGGAGGATCTGAGTTCAACTCCAGCCTCAGACACTTGACACTTACTAGCTGTGTGACCCTGGGCAAGTCATTTAACTGTGACGGCCTAAGCCAAAAAAAAAAAAAAAGGCAGCATCAAAAAGCTCTCTTATCTTTTCTCCACAGCAACCATCTTAGCTACCTTCAACTTCTGGTCCTCAAAGGTAAGGAGAGTAGAGTTTTGGAAAAGGTCCAGGTGGTCTAGACCAGCCAGGTTTTATCTGCTCTATCAGCAGCTAACCATACTGCATTAGGGACCTTCACGCTGTCCCAAAAAAGTTTTAGGAGCAATTTTTACAGCTTTAATGGCAACAGTAGCAGAAGCAATACAAAGAATTCAGGTACTCAATATTAATGTGCAGTCAATTAAAAAGTAAAATGAGGAAAGGTACACTACTCATTTCAAAATTATGCAATCTTCAGGACTTCTTTTTTCTTTTTTTAAAAAAAAGAACATGAATTAAAGAGTTTTTCATAATTTTTTCTGGCTTTTATTTTATTATTGGAGGGGTTACATTTGAGAATACTTTACATTTCTAAGAATAGGGCAAAAGTATTATTTGAAGAGTATTTTAATTAAAATTTTAAATTAAAAAATTAAATATAAAGGAAAATTGGGGCTTCCATCTGACAAAATAGAAGTAATTTTATTAAATCATAGCCACTTAAACAACTATTGTACTCTGCAATTTTTCTATAAAAAATGATTAAGACAATAAGAAACTTTCAGAATGATTCAAAGAAGAAAAATATTGTAAAATATGATTAAATTAGAGCAGAAATCAGAGCCCACAATGCAAAATATAAAAACACAAGAAGCAGCATAGAAAAGCCAAAAACATCATGGAAAATGTCTTTGAAAAAAATAGAAGCTTTTAGAAACATTTCCAATTAGATGGGAGATGAAATATAGATGAGCATTATCACCACTGTTATTCAATATTGTACTAAAAATGTTAGCTTTGGCAATAAGAAAAGAAAAAGAAATTGAAGGAATTATAATAGATAAAGAAGAAACAAAGCTATCACTCTTTGCAGATGATATGATGGTATATTTAGAGAATCCTAGAGAATCAAGTAAAAAACTATTCGAAATAACAAACAAATTTAGCAAAGTTGCAGGATGTAAAATAAACCCACAGAAATCGTCGGCATTTCTATAACAACTGTACAAGTACAACTAACTAACAAGGCCCAACAGCAAGAGAAAGAAAGAGAAATTCCATTTAAAGTTACTATAGACATTATAAAATATTTGGAAATCTATCTGCCAAAACAAATTCAGAAACTATATGAACACAATTACAAAACACTTTACACACAAATAAAGTCAGATCTAAATAATTGGAAAATTTTCAGTTACTCATGGGTAGACCGAACTAATGTGATAAAAATGACAATTCTACCTAAATGAATTTACTTATTCAGTGCCATAGCAATCAAACCACCAAAAATTATTTTATAGAGCTAGAAGAACAATAACAAAATTCATCTGGAAGAACAAAGGTCTAGAATATCATAAGAATGAATGAAAATAAATGCAAGGGAAGGTGGCCTAGCCATACCAGATCTTAAATTGTATTATAAAGCAGCAATCATCAAAACTGCTTGGTACTGGCTAAGAAATAGAGTGGTAGTTCAGTGAAATAGGTTAGGTATGTAAGACACAATAGTCAATGACTATAGTAATCTACTATTTGAAAAATCCAAAGACTCCAGCTTCTGGATAAAAACTCACTATTTAACAAAAACTTCTGGGAAAACTGGAAAATAGTATGGCAGAAACTAGGCATAGACCAATATCTTACACCCTATACCAAGATAAAGTTAAAATGGTTACATGATTTAGATGTAAAGGCTGATACCATAAACAAACTAGAAGAACAAGGCATACTTTACCTGTCAGATCTGTGGAGAAGGGGGGAGTTTATGACCAAAAAAAGAAATAGAAAACATTATGAAATGCAAAATGAATGATTTTGATTACATTAGATTGAAACGTTTTTGCACAAACAAAGCCAATGCAACTAAGATTAGGAGGGAAGCAGAAAACTGAGAAACAATTTTTATAGCCAGTGTCTCTGATAAAGGCTTCATTTCTAAAAAATATAGAGAACTGAGTCAAATTTATAAGAATACAAGTCATTCCCCAACTGATAAATGGTCAAAGGATATGAACATGCAGTTTTCAGATGGAGAAATTAAAGCTATCCATAGTCATATGAAAAAATGCTCTAAATCAGGAGAAATGCAAATCGAAATAACTCTGAGATACCACATCACACCTATCAGATTGGCCAACATTAAGAAACAGGAAAATTATAAATGCTGGAGAAGATGTGGGAAACTTGGAACACTAATGCATCATTGGTGAAGTTGTGAACTGATCCAACCATTCTGGAGAGCAATTTGGAACTATGCCCAAAGGCCTTTAAAATTGTCCATACCCTTTGGCCCAGCAATACCACTTCTAGGTCTGTATCTCAAAGAAATCATACAAATAGGAAAAGGGACCCAAATGTACAAAAATATTTATAGCAGTTCTTTTTCTGGTAGGCAAGAATTGGAAATTGAGGATATGCCTATCACTTGGGGAATGGCTGAACAAGTTGTGGTATATGAATGTAATGGAATACTATTGTGCTATAAGAAATGATGAGCAAGCAGACTTCAGAAAAACCTGGAAAGATTTGTGTGATGCTGAGTAAAGTGAGCAGAACCAGGAGAACATTGTACACAGTAACAGCCACATTGTAAGATGACTAACTTTGATAGACCCAGCCCTTCTCAACAATGCAAGGATCTAAGACATCTTCAAAAGTCTCATGATGGAAAATACTATCCACAGCCAGAGAAAGAACTATGGAGTCTGAATGCAGATTGAAACACTATTTGCTCTCTCTTTTTTTGTTGTTTTGTTTTGTTCTTTCTTTCTTGTGGTTCCTCCTATTGGTTCTAATTCTTCTTTACAATATGACTAATGTGAAAATAAGTTTAATATGAATCTATATGTAGAGCCTGTATCAAATTGCATGCCATCTTGGGAAGGGGAAGGGGAAAAAGAAAGAGGGAGAGAATTTAAAACTCAAAAGCTTATGGAAGTGAATGTTGAAAACTAAAACTAAACAACTTTTTTTTTTTGACAAGGCGTTTAGGGTTAAGTGACTTGCTCAGAGTCACACAGCTAGGAAATAGTCTGTATCTGAGGCTGGATTTGAACTCAGGTCCTCCTGACTCCGGGCTAGTGCTCTATCCACTGTGCCACTTAGCTGCCCTGTAAATTTCTTTAAAAAAAAGAAAAAGTAGAAGCTTTGAAAAAGAGGAGGACAATTTTTTTTAAGGCAATTGGGGTTAAGTTACTTGCCCAGGGTCACACAGCTAGTAAGTGTCAAGTGTTTGGTCTGAGGCTGGATTTGAACTCAGGTCCTCTTGACTTCAGGGCTGGTGCTCTATCCACTGCACCACCTAGCTGCCCCCATGAAGATGACAAATTTGAGACACAAAAGTACAGAAACTGAAAAAAATTTAGCAAAAGAAAAACAAAAGGCAACTACATTAAAACAGCACATCTACCAACCAAAGAGACTAACTTCAAAAACAGGCTGTAAGAGAATACCAAGGCAATTAGTGGTTTCAGTAAGAAACATCTTTAGCAATCCCCTGGGGAAAAGACTTTCACAGAATTTTGGATTACTCCATAGTCACTAGAAATTCGAGAAAGTAATAGAATGGCATATTTCAAAAAGCAAAGAGCTCAAGCTATTATCTACTAACTTACCCTGAGAAGATGAGCTTAGTTATCAATGAAAAAAATTGAAATCTCAACAAAAGAGAGGCATTTGAGGTATTCCTGGTTAAGACTCAATGATTAGAATAATATGTAAATTGTAAATATACTGAATAAGAGAAACTCAAGAAAGGTAGATAAGCACAATTATTAATAAAAGACTGATAATATTAATTCTATTATATTTGTAAGGTTGAAGTTGAAGTTGACCCACTTGGCTTTGGAGCTTTGACTAGGTAAAAGAACATATTTTGATTATATCAAATAATCAGAATTAAATGTGAACAGGGCCCATTTTGATTTTATCTTGGTATATGGTATAAGATATTGGTCTATGCCTAGTTTCTGCCATACTATTTTCCAGTTTTCCCAGAAGTTCTTGTCAAATAGTGAGTTCTTATCCCAGAAACTGGGGTCTTTGGATTTAACAAATAGTAGATTACTATAGTCACTGACTACTGTGTCTTGTGTGCCTAACCTATTCCACTGATCCACCACTCTATTTCCTAGCCAGTACCAAGCAATTTTAATGATTGCTGCTTTATAATGCAATCTAAGATCCGGTATGGCTAGGCCACCTTCCCTAGCATTTCTTTTCATTAATTCCCTTGATATTCTGGACCTTTTGTTCTTCTGGATGAATTTTGTTATTATTTTTCTAGCTCTATAAAATAATTTTTGGTAGTCTGGTATGGCACTAAGTAAATTAATTTAGGTAGAATTATCATTTTTTTTATATATATTAGCTCGGCCTGCTCATGAGCAACTGATGTTTTCCCATTTATTTAGATCTGACTATATTCATGTGAATAGTGTTTTGTAATTGTATTCATATAGTTCCTGGATTTGTTTTGGCAGGTAGACTGTCAAATATTTCGTAACATCTACAGTTGCTTTAAATGGAATTTCTAAGAGATGTATTCTTAACCAAACAAGTGATAGAGGTGATTAGAAAAGATAAAATAGATAACTTTGATTACTTGAAACTGAAAAGCTTTTGCACAGACAACATTAATGTACCTAGCGTAAGAAGGGAAGTGGTCAAATGGAGGAGAAATTAATAAAATCTTATACTGTACAAACTCATACTTACTAGCACGTATTATTCAAAATACTCAAACAGAACTGGGATTCAGTCACATCTCACTGATGTGATTGTTCCTTCTAGCATGCAGATCACGAAACTGACCACCCTTTGCAGTTTTTATCTGTGTCTTCTCATTAGTTTGCCACAGGAGTTCCACTTAGGAGGCAAGTGGCTTCTTGGCTTTCTTGTGATATCTCATAGATGCTAGAGGAGCCCTTGGTTTGTCCATCTGTCATTCCTCAACCCTGGCACATGACCAACTAGTCTGCTTTTTATAACATCCATTTCCCTGATGACACATTTTATTATAGCTCTTTTTGGAAGTTCATCATTGATTGTACATTGCAGCCTGCTCATACCAACCATTGTACTCAACTTTTGTTTTCCAAATTATCAGAAAAGTTTTGAATTCTTCAGAGAATATAATGTTCTATGTGTTGCAGCCAGGGAGCAATACTGGTAGAATATTGGTATTAAGGGCAGCTAGGTGGCGCACTGGATAGAGCACTGGCCCTGAAGTTGGGAGGACCTGAGTTCAAATCCGGCTTCAGATCAAACTCTTGACACTTACTAAGCTGTGTGACCCTGGGCAAGTCACTTAACCCCAATTGCCTAAAAAAAAAATGGTATTAAAAAGATGGACTTTGGTTTCTGAGAGGTTTTAAGTCATTTAAGTCCAGGAGCCTGGACAATGTCCTAGAGGCAATCAATATTGCCTTCTTCTTCATGTTGAATTCTGGGCTCAATTCATTTTTGCTGTCTGACCCAGATATGGATACTGATTGACAAAATCCATCAGCTATTTTTCAGTCTTCTGGTGTCACCTCTCTATAGTCAAGAATCCCTTTATTGTGCCCTGCCTTGATCTTTGGTGTCAAATAGCTATGGCAACCAGCATACTCCAAGGACAACCAGCTCAGACATGTCCAGGAATGTGCTACATCATAGTACTTCTCTTCGTGTGGTGTATGCCCTAAAAGAAACTGTGAGGCAATAGTATTTCCTGACCTGCTAGGTGTACTTGCTCCATTCTTGCAAAGTTTATTTTCCTTAAGGGTAAAGGTTAGGGTTCATGTCAAGTTTACGGACATTAGCTGCCTTCACCAGACCAGACCTGTTTAACTGTACTGAGTTCCTATGTGCTGAGCAGGACACTGAGCTTGGAGTGGAAGTGGAGGATACTGGGGAGAGAGGAAGTGATTGCAGTCTTTTTGGCCCTTCCTCAGCAAAGCAGGCTGCTTCCCTAAGATCTCTGGCATAATGCAAGAACCTTTTTAGTCTTGAGCAATGCCTAGGTACAGCAAAGAGGAGAGGAGAGAGAAAGTAGGAAGCAGTATTGGAAAAGAAAAAGCAAAAAGCAAAAGGAGGAAAGGGGAAAGAAAAATAAAGCCAAAGATCCATCTTGGTTAAGGAAGGGAGATAGAAAACTACTTAGTGTATTCTCCTTTTCCATGCTGAAGTTAAGGATTGACCACTGGCTCCTGCAGAAACGACCAATGTTTTCTTTATCTAACTATATGATTCTCTGTTCCTGGGGCTCTCTATTCAGGTTCTCTACCTGGAGTGGATCTGGAAATTTGCAGTAGACCATGAATGAATGCCCTGAAGCTTAAGCAGAGCTTCTGCCCAACTACTGGGAAGAAGGATTGACTGCTGGAAAGAATGCTGAGGGTTCCTAGAATTTTGTGTTCTTTAATGATGGGAGAGGAGAGAGTACTTGGAACTGGGGAAAATATATCCAAAAAAGCAGAGGAGACACAAAGAGGGACACAAATAGAAACTGAATGAGAAACAATTAAGGCCAATATTCCAACAGGGTCCACTGTAGGCACCCATTCCTCCTCTCCACCCCATTTTGAAGGATGAGGGCGAGGGAGAATTTGAGAGCAGAATGGTCATATACCACCCATAAGATCATAGAATATAGAGCAAAACAGAATCTAATGTCATCTAATCCATTCCAGATGAGGGAACTACGTCCAGAGAGTGGAGGGACTTACCCAGTGTCACAATGCTATAAGTGACAAGATTTAAACTCATGTCCTCTGACTCCAATTCAAGCATGCATTATATTATCTTTTTTCACCAAAAATAAAGTCAGGGCCTAAAGTATTCCTGCCAGCATCCTGAGTCAAACTGCCAGATGTGATAGTTGGAAGTACTTGAACTATGGTCACTGCTCTGGGCAGGATCCAGATGCTGACAATATGCCATATTGTCTGGTCAGGTCAGACATAAAAAATAGACTGTGCTGCTGTTTATTTGAGAGTGGTGGCTTTTTACTAAAATATAATCCAGTGATCTGGACCAATGTAAAGGAGCTTTGGAATGAAAAATGGAAAGCCACAGGCAATCTTCTTAACTGGGTCAAGTGTCCATTCCCTGTGGAGCAGAGCTGCAATTTGGATGTTATTATATGAATCTGGCACAGAAAGCCCCAGGCCCCAGAAATAGGAACAGTTCTACTCAAGACTCAAGATTCAAGAGATACTTTTGCCAATCATCACTCATCAACTAAACCAAGCCCTTCTGTCCTCAGTCAAAACACAGGAATTATCTCCAGATGCTTTTCTTGTATCTATGGTCTCTACTCTGATCATATAACATCTGAAGATTTTTAAGATGGGCATTGCCTACCTAGAGAATTTCCAAGAAGGATGACCAGAATGATGAGGTAACTTCTATATAATGAAAGGAAATAGGAATATTTAGCCTCAAGAAGAGAAGACTAAGGAGAGACATGATCGTCAAATATTTTTAAGACCATCATGTGGAGGAGGGCACATGTTTACTCTAGCTCTTGTAGGCAGAGCTAGCAAAAGCAGCACCAGGAATGAGGAATTGTAAGGAGATAAATTTTGAGTCAGTATAAGAAAGAATTTTCTAACCATAAGCACTAAGGATAATATACTTTTTATATAATTTTTATATACATTAGATAATTTCATCTTCACAACAACCCTTCAAGGCTAGTACTAGCAATCTTATTACCCCCACTTTACAGATGAGGAAAAATAAGTTAAAAAACTAACTGACTTGCCTGTGTTCATATGGTCAGTTAGGGTCAGTGGCAATGTGCAGAGCCACGTATCTTCTGATTCTAGGTCCATATCTTTTTCCATTATGGAAAACCACTTCACATGAGGCAGATCATGAAGAAGTTCATGAGATAGTGAGACACTTGTCATGAAACATATTTAAGCACATATTGGACAGGGATTCTACAGAAGGAATTATTGCAGAAGTGACTAGAAAGTTGTATTAGATCTGGGGTGTACTGGTAAATATTTAATAACTGGCTCTCTGCAGAGGGAGAAAAATATTCACAAGACATACTTCTAACTTTTATCTGCATCATTTACATTTTCTTTTTTTTAAGTCTAGAAATCAACAAAATGATAAATCAAGCCCTAATTTGAAGTATGTACCAATTTCTGAGGTGTAAATGTGCACACTGAAAATTTAACAATTTGCTCTCTAGAGCTGGTAGGAGCTGAATCTAATACACTCCTGCTTCAATCCCTTCCAACTCAAAAGTTCTATCTTTTTATGCTTCCTAATGTTCTAGCTCAATAGAAGTTCTCCATGTCCAAATTCCCATAAAGGACTTACATACAAACATGTCTACCTACCACCAACTTGTTTCTAGAAAGATTGGGGGCCTGGATGCTGAAGAAACCCCAAGACTCCATATGGAATCATGATAAGACACTTCCTTTACGTCTCTCCACAGATGCAAGGCAGCTCCTGCCCTGCAGAAGGCGTAGGTATCTACTTATTCTGTAAATAACAGTAGATTTTTTCCTGAAGTTTCTGCTTGGTGGCATAGAATTTCTACCTATATTATTAGCATACACTTCTTTTAACTTTTCTAAAAGAATTAATGTATTGCTAGAATGTGTCTATCCTAACAGAGGGCTAGACACATTGCTATTTAGATTTTTGTTCTTGATTGGATCTGTGATTTCATTGCTGTAGAGAACTAAGGGCAGTGAGAAGGTAAGTGACTTGGCCAGGGTTCAATAGATAGTATGCACCAGAAGCTAAATTTGAACCCAGATCTCTTTTTGGTTCTTGAATCCATAACCAACTCTATCCACTATGCCTTGCTGTCTCTTAGGTAAATTCAATAAATCCTTATTAAGTTATTTAAGAATGGAGCCATAACTGACTTTGGTATTTCAGTTATGAATGAGTCTTTCCTACACTGAGGCAATTCAGGAGAATGTGTTATCAAAAATATGGAGGAACCACTTGCTCCATTCAAAATCTCAGAATTTTATAATTGGGAAGAAAACCCTGGAAATTGTATAGCCCAGTCTCATGTCCAATACATTAATCCCTCTACAACTTCCTCAAAAAATAGTTTTTCCAATACTTATTTGAATATTCCCAGTGGTGAGAATCTCACTATCTTTACTACACCTCCATGCTATAATGGAAAGCAGCCTATTCCATTGTTGGATAGCTCTAATTGCTAGACAGTTCTTCCTTATATTGAGCTAATGTCTACTTCCCTTTGACTTTCATCTACTGGTCTCAGTTCTACCCCCTAGTATAGTTTGCCCCAGCTACTGAAATGTAGTCCATCTGTATGGCAGCACTCCAGCCAAATCCTCTCTAGCCCCTTCTCCCATTGGTAAGTTCCTCCCAGAACCTCCATTTTGAGGAAGGGCCTAGACCAGGCCTCTTTCATTCTCTGGACTTCACCACCTTCCTATTTCTCTCTTTAAAATATTATTTGTTACATAGTATGACTGCCTGGAAAGGGAAAGAAGGGTGCTGGAGGAAACTGATGATATAAAAAAAGATAAATATAAACTTATTTTTTAAAGAATGTATGCACCTGAGGGCAGGAGCTGTCTTTCTTTTTGTATGTGTTTTTCTCCCCAGTGCTTAGCACAGTTCCTGGAATGTAGAAAGTGTTTAATAAATGCTTGTTGACTTGACTTACCTTGACTTTTTGAGAGAGTATGAGGATAGAAAGGAAGATAAAATTAAAAGGAAATTAATTAAAAGAGTTATTTTATTAATACCTTTTGTTTTTACAATGCATTCATTTCTGAATATGTACTTCTCCCCTACCCCACCAGGCTTCTCTTGTAACTGACACTGACTACCCTAGCCACCACTACCTGAAGGTTAGGTGTGCTACATTTATTTAAGGATAGAAAATCCCAAGGTTTTCTAGTACTTTTAAGGGGTTTGGAAAAGGAGTGTCTAGTCTCTAGCATTGACTTTAGCCCCCACTGATTTTGGACCCTCAATTTAGAGCTTCTCAAGGTTTCCTTGCTGGACTGGCAGCAACATCTGGCCTGGAACTGAAGCTCCAAGGTCAGCATTTCTTGAGCTCCTGGGTCTGGGACTCCAGACAAAAAAATCCAGCAGAACCAACCAACCTGTGAACCATGTGTCAAAACACATGGAATTTTCCATACCCATCGTCCCCCACCTTGTACTGTTGGTTTTGGTTTTGTTGCTATTGCCTCTAAAGCTCCATGTTCTTCTCTATGTTATTATGTTGTCTGTTACCCTTTGTATAATAAAGGAAATTAGTGGCCACTAACCCTTGGTGTGTAATCAATGTCAGAGCTGTGGATAGAGGCAGAGGAAAGTCTTTAAAAAGCTGGAGGCTGGGATTCTGAATCTTTTTTTTGTGTCATGGACCTTTTTGGCAGCCTAGTGAAGCATATGGACCCCTTCTAAGAATATTTTTATACACATAAAGATAAAATACACAAGATTAGCCAAAAACAGTTATCAAATTTTGAAAGTTCACTTTTTAAAGTTCACTATTGCCTTCCAAATGGTTTTCCTGGTTTAAGCTTACCCCGTCTTTATTCCAGCTCCCAAACATCTGCCAAGATGATTTCCCTAAAGTGGGGGTCCAACTACGTCATTACTCTACTTGTTAATTTCTAGGAGCTCATTATTAGGTCTTGGATCTCCGGCATTTAAAAAACTTCACAACCTGGCTCCAACCTACCTTTTCAGGCTTATCATACATCATTCCCCTTCACTATAGCTCCTTCACTATAGAACTTAAATTGAAAAACTCAGGATCTAGAGAAAAGCATGAAGGGAGGAGACAGAATAATGATTTACACACACACATACACACACACACACACACACACACACCACCAGCACCACCACTACCACCACCACCATCATCATAAACCATTTTAGTTACTCTGTGATCATATTCATCAGCCAGTTTAAATTTGAATTAAGGAGAGTATAAACAAAGAGATGTTAATAATCTGAAACAAATAAAACATTCTTGAACCATGAAAATATAAGCTGCTTGGGGCAGGCATGAGCCAGCCCAGAATGAAGGGAGGAAATGCGGCTGCTTTTTGGTTACGCCATGCTAATACCTTTTTAAATGCCTTGGTTGCTGTGCATGTTGTTGGTCTCCTATAACTACCTTCCTCTCAGCAGCTATATACAGAGGGATATACAGAGAGGGAGGAACTCTCCTCAGCTCTTCATCTATCATCATCCTACTTATATCTCTATACCAGCATCTCCTAACACATCTCCTTCATATCTTATATAACAAAAATGGAAATTCAGTTCTATGTGGTTGGGTCAGAAGAACACAAGGATGGTATTACCCTGGTGCTGCAGAGCTAAATCTTAATGGTAACTTGTCATTGGACTATTTTGTTTTAACACAGTATCAATGTGTTAAGTCAAGGTGGAAAATATTAGGAAATGTAAATGTAACTGTACTTGTGTCTAAGATTTATTTATGCAATAGGACCCAAATTCATAGTGATTCTGTACTTACAAGAGTAGTTATGAAATGGCTTATGCTTGTGCCTCAAGATAAAGAGCAAAACTCTCTAATAATGGGCTAGAGGTGAAACTCCCAGCCTTGACTAGGAAAAATCCCTTTCTCCTTCCTGGTGCCCTCATGCTGCAAACAAAGGCAATAAATACATGGACAGGTTTTACCAAAGGTGTTTATGAGAAATAATACCCAATCTGGCAAATATATTCTTTAATAGGATAGATTTTAAATAACATAAATGGAATCAAGGCCTGACCATTGTTCCTCTCTCAGCTGACTTGCTTGTCTTTGAAAAATGGGGTATGCATGTGTGGGGTGATCTCCCACAATAAAACACATGGCTGTATACAACTCCTAGCTTGTCCATTAGATGAAGGTCATTTTTCATGGTCTTACAGGAAGGAACTACAGATGTGACAGTCTCCAGCTGATGCCTTGGTCACTCAACTACATGGGACAAATACCACTTCTCCCTTTTCCTTTCCTTATTTTCTTTGAGAGTCCCCCCCCACAAAAAAAAACCTTCCACTTAGTCAAAACCTCTGTCTACCCACTCCTAACCCACTTGAGGGCTGATCCGGTATTAGTTTCCTCTCTTCCCAAACTGGGAATCCAAATCCCAGAAGATTTTGTGGCCACCCTGGCAACAGGTGTTTACATAAATAAAAATGTATTTTTAAAATTTAAATAGAATTATCAGGGGAAAAATAAAACATGGTCAAGCTCTAAATTAGTCATCATTTACAAGGAATCTACTGGGTTCCATGGTAATGGCCTGGAAAATCTCCCTCATCCTCAAGGAGATGCTGGCTTTGAGCCCTCAAACAACTTGTTGAACAAGGGCATGGAATCATAACAAGGCAGTAAGCCATGGTTATAGTCATTGTCTAGCTACACCATTGAACTCTGCTACATCTGCTGGGTCTGCACTGACCCAACCACTCCCAAAGGAACAGTTTATTTGAATCCTATATATTCTTCCTGGGCAAAGGTCCCACCAGGATCCCAAGACAGCCTCAATATGCAGAAGCCACTGCAGCTGAGCTATATGACCTGATCTTTGGGATAATGCTAATAAAATCATGTCTGGGTGGTCTGACTGTTCTTCTAAACCTTTATATTTTTCAGGAGGTGATTAAGGCCCATTAGATGCTACATTCTGGCTCATTACAACTTAACTGAATTCATCTTCCGGATGACAGCAATTGTTTATGCTCCTAATGGACATTGCCTTGCCTTCAGTGCATTTTCCCTAGGATGGAAACTGACATTCAAACTGTGACAGAATTTCCCCTGCATACCATCCCTTGGCAGTTCCAACCCTTGGAGCCAGCCAGATGTCCAGTGACACTGTTCAAAATCACAGGAAGGAACGCCTGAAACGCAGTAACTGGAAAGCCAGAGTGTTGCCCCACTTGTAACCCTGAATTCAGTTCCTCTAGGGGTTTGGGGAGAAGAAAACTACTGAAGGGCAAGGTGAGCTTCACTATGAATGATTCCAAGGGGTTTCTGCTTTTGAACAGGGCCATCAATCAATTTTACGGGAAGAAAAGAGGGGAATAGAAATGTGGTGATTTTCAACTTCAAGTATGTCTGTTCCAGGAGACTTGGGAGTCTAATGGGCAGGGAAAAGTGTTGTTTCTTTACTCTGCAGAAGACGTAAGTTATGCATTTTAACATTAAGACATCTCAGGTGCAAGGGATAAGATACAGGCCTCAGGCACGGTCACAAGGTGGAACAATGATATTGTGCATAACTAGCTCTTTCACCCATTCTAGGAGCCAGAAGTCTTTTTGAAATTCTAGATGCCCAGTGAATTTTGTAGAACTGACAATGAGGAAGGGGGAAGTGGGGATTGTCAGAGAAAAGGATTATAAGGGTTTGTGAACTTAGCCTTGAAGGACAGTTCTGCTTTTTCAGAAAATAGCAATTTCAAGGAAAATCTCTATCAAAGGAATCTTTCCTCAATAACTGCCACCACAGGATCCAAGTGAAATGCAAATTCACTTGCACAATGACTTGACATTTGTCAAGGACCATGACATCAGGGAGGTGATGTCATGACTTGCAGGTAAACTGGATTTAAGTGAGAGAGGGCTGTGCAAAGTCACCAGCCTCACTTTCTCCTCCAGATCCATTTGGGCCCAATGGCAAGATATAAATCTGGACAACTGGAGATGACCCAACACCCATTCAGTGATTTAGGATAGGTAAGAAATGAGGTAAGGAATGGCCTCTTTTATGGCAGATTGAAAGCAGTGACTTGCTTGATCTCTCCCCCAAACCCCTCCAAATACCTGTAAAAAAAATAGCTCTAAACATATTTTAAAGCAGGAGAACCCACAAAAAGACAAAGGGAAAAAAATTACCTGGATGGTTGATCAGAAAGGTATATCGTGCCAGGCAGGGAGATGAACACAATTCTGTGTGAGTGCACAGGCAAAACAGGCCTCAGTGAACCTGGAGCAGGCCTCAGAGAACTGAATCTTAGGCAGCTGTGGTGGTTTCTAGACTTCTCAACCCATGAATGCCAAAGACAATTTAGAAGGTCAATAGGAAAAGTCTGCGACTGCTGTGAGAGAGAACCTTGGTCCCAGCCCCAGTCCCTGCACAATCCTTGGGTGGTGGCTGCTTCTGGAGCTTCCATCCCACAGACTGAAGGGGAATCTAGTGGCTGATCAGAGGGGGATTGCAGAGATCTCTTTGCTGGTGCAGGATTCTCTTGCTTGGCCTGTCCTTGCATCTGGATCACAGTTCTGGGCGGCAATCCTGGGGTGAGGAGGAGTGCTGGCATAGTGGAGCTTGTAGTAGTAGTGGAGAGGGAATCTTCCTCATGGTTCCAATGCAGAAAAGAGTGCTTATGGTCACTCATAAACCACAGCACAGGCCAGGAAAGGACTAAACACCTCACCCCTTATCATGCCACCTTGCAAGAACTGAAAATTTACAGATCCCTAGAAGAATCTCTGAAAACAGCTGCACAAAACCCCCAAAGCTTGGGATAGTACATTCTCCACACTGGAAGCAGACCCCTACCTTAACAGAGTTCATAACTCAAGTAATTGGCTGGGATCATGAGGAAACTGTGCAAAAAAGTCAGACCATAGAATCTTTCTTTGGTGACAAAGAAGATTGAAACACACAACCAGAAGAAGACAAAAAAGTCAAAGCTCCTACATCCAAAGCCTCTAAGAAAAATATGAATTGGTCCCAGGCCATGGAAGAGCTCAAAAAGAATTTTGAGAAGCAAGTAAGAGAAGCAGAGGGAAAACTAGGAAGAGAAACGAGAATGATGCAAGAAAATTATGAAAAACAAATCAACAGCTTGCTAAAGGAGACTCAAAAAAATACTGAAGAAAATAACACCTTAAAAAATAGCCTAACCCAAATGGCAAAAGAGGTCCAAAAAGCCAATGAGGAGAAGAATGACTTAAAAAGCAAAACTGGCCAGATGAAAAAGGAAGTCCAAAAGCTTACTGAACAAAATACTTCCTTAAAAATTAGAATGGAGCAGTTGGAAGCTAGTAACTCTATGAGAAATCAAGACACTGTAAAACAAAACCAAAAGAATGAAAAAATAAAAAACAATGTGAAATATCTCATTGGAAAAACAACTGACCTGGAAAATAGATCCAGAAGAAAGAATTTAAAAATCACTGGACTATCTGATAGCCATGATCATCATATTTCCAAAATTTCAAGAAATTATCAAGGAAAACTGCCCTGATATTTTAGAACCAGAGGGCAAAATAGAAATTGAAAGAATCCACCAATCACCTCCTGAAAGGATCCCCAAAGAAAAACTAGGAATACTGTAGCCAAATTCCAGAGATCCCAGCTCAAGGAGAAAATATTACAAGCTGCCAGAAAGAAACAATTCAAGTATTATGGAAACACAATCAGGAAACACAAGATTCAGCAGCTTCTACATTAAAGGACTGCAGGGCTTGGAATATGATATCTCAGAGGTCAAGGGAGATAGGATTACAACCAAGAATCATCTACCCAGCAAAACTGAGTATAATCCTTCAGGGGAAAAAATAATCATTCAGTGAAACAGAGGACTTTCAAGCATTCTTGATGAAAAGACCAGAGCTCAATAGAAAATTTGACTTTCAAACATAAGACTCAAGTGGAACATGAAGAGGTAAACAGGAAAGAGAAATCATAAGAGACTTATTAAGGTTGAACTGTTTACATTCCTGCATGGAAAGATGATATTTGTAACTCATGAGACTTTTATCAGTATTAAGGTAGTTGGAGGGAAAAAAATTTGTGTTTCTATACACATAGATAGAAAAATAAAGGGCACAGGGTGAGTTGAAGATGAAGGAGTGATATCTGGAGAATACAATTAAGGGGTGAGAGAGGATTATATTGGGAGAAAGAGAAAGAGAGAGGTAGAATGGGGTAAATTATATCGCATAAAACAGACAAGAAAAGACTTTTACAGTGGAAGGGAAATGGGGGAAGGTGAGATAGCATGAGTGAATCTTATTCACATCAGATTTGGCTTAAGGAGGGAATAACATACACACTCAATTGGGTATGGAAATCTATATTACCCTACAGGAAAATAGGGTGGGTGGAAGGGGACAAGAGAGCAGGAGGATGATAGAGGGGAGGGTAGATTGGAGAAGGGGGGCAATCAGAAGCAAACACTTCTAAGGAGGGACAGGGTCAAAAGAGAGAATAGAATAAATGGAAGGCAGAATAGGATTAAGGGAAACATACTTAGTTTTTCACAACATGACTACTATGGGAGTGTTTTGTATGACTACACATGTATAATCTGTATTGAGTTGTTTGTCTTCTCAATGAGGGTGGGTAGGGAGGGAGGAAGGGAGAAAATCTGGAACCCAAAGTTTTAAAAACAAATGATAAAAGAAATTGTTTTCATGTGCAACTGGGAAATAAGATATACAGGAAATGGGCTATAGAAATCTATCCTGCTCTATAGGAAAACTGAAGGGGAAGGAGATGAGAGAAGAGGGGGAGAGATAGAAAGGAGGGCAGATTAGGGGAAGGGGTATACAGAACGCATGCCATCTTGGGGTGGGGGGAGGGAAGAGATGGGGAGAAAATTTGGAACTCAAAATCTTGTGGAAGTGAATGTTGAAAATTAAAATTAAATTAATTAATTTTAAAAGGTGTTAAAAAAAATAAAGGAGAGAAATGGGGAGAAAAAAAGAAGAATGGCCTCTTTTATCCAGTTTTTTAAAAAATCAATCTGGGCAGGGAAGACTCTCTGGGTTTCTGGCCAAAATAGAAACAACTACTATTTATATTCACTCTGAGCCATTCAGGGCCCAAGCAATAACCAGGTAGGGATTGGGCTTGGACCTATTGTTGGTCAATCAATGACAGCCAGCCTCACCCTAAATACTTGCTAAATAAATCTTGTTTTTGTTTTGTTTTTAGGCAGGTAGGGTTAAGTGACTTGCCCAGGGTCACACAGCTAGTAAGTGTCAAGTGTTTAGTCTGAGGCCAGATTTGAACTCAGGTACTCCTGACTTCAGGGCCGGTGCTCTATCCACTGCACCACCTAGCTGCCCCTTTGCTAAATAAATCTTAAGAGTGGTAATGTAGATGACTAAGTTCACATCTTTGACTTGGAACTCCAGAGGAAAAAAATGTGAATGAGGACATCTAGTGGCCAAGGAGCAATAAGGTCAACAAAGAGAAAAAGAAATCATTAAAAGAATCTAGGGTGTCATATCTAAAATGTAAAGGGCCAAAAAGTCACAGAGGTTATGCAACTACTATTAACTCTAAAAATACCAAAGAGTTCACACAGGTCATGATAACCATGTTAATTCTAAGAAATAAAATAATTTTTTTAAATAGAGCCAATAATGGTCATAAACAAAAAAGCTTTCTTTATTCCATTGAAGGAGGGAAACTACACACATATGCCAGGGTATCCTCTAGAAAGAGACCTGCTTCTGTGTGGGCAAATCTCAATACATACAGCAATGGTTATGCAGGGAGCTGTAGCCCTGACAATGAGAGGTAACAGCAACAATGAGACGTTTGATTCATAGGAGGCCTTCATGACTAGAACATGGGTCCTACAGGTGCTTGTCCAAGCTCAAGGACCATCTGGCGCTGGTGTGAAACAGAGTGTGAGCACAAAGGATTGTTGTTATGCCAAGCTCAGGGCACAGCTTGCTTGCTGGGCCTTAGCTCTGGAAAATGGGGTATCTCCTAATAGTAAAAAGAGAGGGGTTAGTTTTGGCATGGGGATCCCGACCCTAGAGCTAAAAAAGAAAAATTATTTAGGGCACAGATGGTAAGGAACAAAAAAAGGAGTACATTAGCCAACTAGAAGTTAAATTAGAAAAGACTTTGGAACATTCTTAAGAGATAATGTGTGGTAGACTCCTTGGAGTGGCAAATGAGGTGTATATAATCAGTCAGAATGTAACGAGATTGTCTGGAGAGAATTTACTACTGAATTCACTGTAGTAAAACT